CTCTCTCTCTCTCTCTGGGTGCTGGGTTTGACTGTGCATGTATTAACTGGCTGCATCTTTGATGGGTTGTTGTTTTTTTTGCTTTCTGTTTCCTCTCTTCCTTCTTTCTGGGCTGCTCTTGTAAAACTAGCTGACGTGGACGCAGGTAACTATCCTCTCTCTCTTCTTCTACCTCGCTCTCTTTCCATCCATCCATCCATCCATCGGTCAGTTGATTCTGACAGCGCCTGATTGAGAACAGCTCAGGTTCAGCGTGTCCACTCAACAGTCGTTGATAAATAATCGTTAATATCCAAGAAGTTTCTTCAGAAGAGTCGTGTAGTTTGATGCTAATTGAAGGCAAATCGGGACTCTTATCAAACACGTTACCTCGGAGGAGTTCGATAACGATAATAAGAGTAAATCTCCAAAAATGTTTAATAATTAATAATTAAGGAATATTCATTTGTGTTTAATTGGGTGTTTTTCTCTTAAGGAAATCTGTATTTGTTATCAATTTATACCAAATTAAACCCGATTATTGACGGGGAATTGGAATAATTAGATTTAAATCAGTAAAAACCAGTTGTTGATCACATTTAAATTAGGTATAAAAACAATCAGCTGGCAGAAAGTGCACGTTGAAAATAAACGTTGGAGTCAACATGGCCGCCTAAAGGTCGGTTTGGACCGCTGAACCCGAAGCTGAGACTGAACACGTAGCTCCGCCCCCCCAAAAAATCTTAGTTTGATTAAAATGATTTTAACTCATGGTAACTTCTTCCTCCTCATGTTCTTTAGTTGTGTGCATGTAAACACACACACACACACACACACTCTCTGCCGACTCAGCGTTATCGGCGCCATCTGCTTTCCACTGTTGCTCCTCACAACATGGCGTCTGTACACAGGAAGCGCTCTAAAATTACACTTCACACGCTTCCTTCAGCACGTGTCGATTACGTAACGAGACGGCAAGTTAAACACAGATTTATTGGTGCGGGATGCCTTTTTAATAACGCTGCGTTAATGCTTTACAACTAAATAACAATAATAATAATAATAATAGATAAAGCTTTACTTAATGACCAATAAATAAGGAACACTAAATAATTTAACATTTACATTGTTCACTGAGAAAATAAACAATGAATAAAAGTCAAATAACCAGTAAACATAAAATCCATGTAAATAATCAACAAAAATAGATATTTATGAGTGAATTTCAGGCTGTGAGTCGTACTACACTAATGAAGCCATTAATTACAGTTAATAAAGCCTCAATTAATAAAGTCATCAGTGAATTAAACTGCAGTCACTGTAATGGATGGATGCCACTTCCTTTTCCCCCAAAAACATTCCTGTTGGAAAACTTGTGCTTCTGCATCTGTGGCGCTTAAAATACGGTGGACGCAGCACTATTAAATGACGGCCAGGCGTATATTTAGGGGGTTTGGGAATCAGTGATCGTGTGACAGGAGGAGTCTGAGGAGGCTGACGAGCCGCAGCGGCCGCCGACGGAGTAATGACTCAGTGGATTGTTCTGTGTGGGCGGTGGGGAACACACACACACACACACAAACACACACACAGCACACACACCACACACAGGCACA